ACAACGTTTAAAAAACTTGTATGAACTTTTGACGGTCACTATTTTTGCACATTTACAACAATATTTGTCAACTTAGAGATATTTTAAATAGTTAACTCTTAATATTAAATGTTGCGCCTAAATGTTAAATCTAAATCTAAATGCTAAATCTAAATCTAAATGGTTCGGGTGAAACTAAATATTTAGTTAATATGCAAATTCAAATGCCAGTAACTGGAAATACCAAAATAAAAGCTCGAGGATGTCAATGTGTGTTTGTAGCGTAAAATGATGAATAAAACCCATCTCATCCGGGGGAAATGGACTCTTGGACATGGATTATCATGATAATAACTACCTAAAATAATAAACACGTTTGGATAAACTTTATTTGAAGGGTACTTTTTAGTGTCACTTTTGTGAGGGGTACGGGACTTATGACATGTAGCTACTATAGGCAGCCACGAGGGGGATCCCTTTGGTTGACCTGTCATGCTCGCTCGCATAAAAGCGAAGAGCCTGTCGTAAGTCCCGTACCCCTCACAAAAGTGACACTAAAAGCTCAAAATTCCCTACAAATGAAGTTTATCCAAACGTGTATATTTTAGGTAGTTATCATGATAATCCATGTCCAAGAGTCCATTTCCCCCCGGATGAGATGGGTTTTAGTCATCATTTGACGCTATAAACACACATTGACATCCTCAAGCTTTTACTTTGGTATTTTTAGTTACCGGCATTTGAATTTGCGTATTAGCTAAATATTTCATTTCACCCAAAACGTTTAGATTAAACATTTAGATCTTGATCAAACATTTAGATTTAAAAAATTAGATTCAGATTCAACATTTAGATTTAATATTTAGATTTAACATTTAACATTTAGGCATAACATTTAATATTTAGATTTAACTATTTTAAATATCTCTAAGTTGACAAATATTGTTGTAAATGTGCAAAAAAAAGTGACCGTCAAAAGTTCATACCAGTTTTTTAAACGTTGTTTGACGCTAAATGTGGTAAAATGTTCCCGTTTTTTTCAGCCTGAGCCGCTTTACAAACGGCGCCCCATACCAGAGGGTTGAGCGCACCATATAATGGCGGCTACTGTCTTCACTGCAGCAGTACCTGGTTTGACTCCCTGCATTACCCTTTGCTGCTTGTCTTACCCTTCTATCTCTACAGAACCCATGGTGTAACGGGGCGCCGTGAAACGACGTCATTCCCCGATTGGCGCGAGTCTCTCTCGGGGCCTGAGAGTGCCGATGCCGGAAGTGCGCATGGAGCGCACTCGCTCCCCGCGGAGCCGAGCACCATCACACTGTTTACATGTTTCCCCGCATCTGTGTCCCGCTGTCCTGTACTCCAACCAATCCAACCCCTTATATCTGGACTCTTTCCTCCCCGCTGTAGACGTTTGAAGGTGCACACACTCGACAACTATACGCCACACACACATAACCCCACTTACCTGCTGCCATCTTACAAGCCAAACCGTGGCACTTCCTGATCCGTCAGTAAATAGCGCGAAGTGGCGTGTTTTGGGGGGTCATGTGACCGCCGGACCATACCAGTATAGTTCATTTGTGATATTTTGTCTGATTTACTGTGTTTTAAAGGGGTAAGGCGATAGCTGTATGGAAGGCTATCAGTGCCTTTTTTCTGCGGTGAGATGTCTTATTTACTGAGGAATATGTGATGTATTTTACATAACAGTATCTTAAACCCCAATAATTTGTGTATGGATGTGCCCAGGGGAGGGGCTAGGGAGGTTTAAAAGAAGGCTGCCTTTGTCCTCTCGAGAACTGTGGAGCTGGTGGCCAAGAAGGTAATTCCTGAACTGATATTTTTGTATTGCTGCTGTGTTGTTGAATCATGAGTTATTGAACAACTCTTGCCTTGTTGGTAGTGATGGCGAGATGAAGCCTCATGAAGCATCGAAGCTTTCCATCCAATTACTCGCCTCCTGGGCCGAAGCTTCATGGTTGTGCTTCATTTGCTCTATTGCGCCATCAAGTGGACAATAAATGTAAAACAGGCAGAGTGATAAACCAAAGACACCCCGAGGCTTTGGTGCGCGAAGCTTTGAATCCAATGAATGAATGGATGTGATGCCGTGTGTTTGTGATACAATACAGAAATGATAAAGTTATTAATATGGTGTTTGTCTTTAAGACACAGTTGCAGTGTCAAAAAGGGGAAGAGGACATAAATTATCGAGAGGGTTGTGATGTGAATGTGTTACTTAGTTTGTTGTTCGTACTTTTGTTACGGGGACAACAAATAAAACATAAACATTTCATTTATATTTATTTATTTTTATTTAAAAACAACTTTTCAACAAGTCTCGAGTCTATGGATTGTGAGTGGGGCAGGACTCCATTGCGTTTCGCTGCCTGTGAAATCATCCGCCAAACCCGTGACCCGTTTCTTGAACCAGTCACGTGGTATAGCCGGGTAGCGAGGCTTCGGACGTCATCATTTTTGGCTCCACCCCTACATGAAGCAAGCCTCGATACGCGCTTCGCGGAAACGCCCCCTTCATTACTCGACACACGCTTCGAAGCCTCGGCACTGAAGGACACATCACTACTTGTTGGCATTGTTTTGTTTTGCCCTGTAGTTTTGCCCCATACTGGATCTAGAGCAATGAGATCTTAAAACAAGATGAAACAGGACATCAGCATGAATGTAAAGACAAGAACCACACAGCCAAGACATTAGAAACACCTGATCCTACACCAAACAGTAGTGATGGCGAGATGAAGCCTCATGAAGCATCGAAGCTTTCCATCCAATTACTCGCCTCCTGGGCCGAAGCTTCATGATCGTGCTTCATTTGCTCTATTGCGCCATCAAGTGGACAATAAATGTAAAACAGGCAGAGTGATAAACCAAAGACACCCTGAGGCTTTGGTGCGCGAAGCTTTGAATTCAATGAATGAATGGATGTGATGCCGTGTGTTTGTGATAACATACAGAAATTATGAAGTTATTAATATGGTGTTTGTCTTTAAGACAAAGTTGCAGTGTCAAAAAGTGGAAGAGGACATGAATTATGGAGAGGGTTGTGGTGTGGATGTGCTAGTGTTACTTAGTTTGTTGTTCGTACTTTCGTTACGGGGATAACATATAAAACATAAACATTTCATTTATATTTATTTATTTATATTTAAAAACAACTTTTCAACAAGTCTCGAGTCTATGGATTGTGAGTGGGGGAGGACTCCATTGCGTTTCGCTGCCTGTTAAATCATCCGCCAAACCCGTGAACCGTTTCATGAATCAGTCACGTGGTACAGCCGTGTAGCGAGGCTTCGGACGTCATCATTTTTGGCTCCACCCCTACATGAAGCAAGCCTCGATACGCGCTTCGCGGAAACGCCCCCTTCATTACTCGACACACGCTTCGAAGCCTCGGCACTGAAGGACACATCACTACCAAACAGCAAAACAGTTACAAACTGTATTTTCTAACTGCAGTAGACAGCTGAAAACAGAAGTACAAGCTTTTTAATGCAGTGGAGGAAAAATATTTTGACATAGTTTGTCCCAGACATTATTAACTTCCAGCACCTCCTAGAGGGCAATGATAGAACTGGTCTCATCTGAGTGTTTGGTATCTAAAATGTTTATTATGGCTTCTTTCAGCAATCAATTATTGGTTATTCTCTAGATATTTTACTATCAGAATCAATAATTTAATGGTTTACATGGCTTGCTGAGAATCTTCAAGTTTTGCTGCCTAAGCTGTTGCATCAGATGTGTGGTATTAATCATTTTTAATTATTGCACAACAAAACTTAAACAGTATGATTCTTATCACCCTGGAGCTGAATTAATACTTTGCTAGATTGAAACGTTTTAGTCTGGTTTGAGATTCAGTGAGAGTAATACAGATGGGTGAGCCAAGAAACTGGAGCAAAGCAGTCAAGCAGATTGATGAATGTTGTTAATAACTAGTTTCAATGTGGTTTGTACCTGATTTAAAAAGTAAATCTTTGTTACTGAGATGTGTTTAACCTCATAATTTAAGCCTGTTGAGTGCTATATAGTATAATTCGACATAAGATGAAAAACTTTGGTATGATTGTGTCATCTGCATATCGAGACATGTTTAGAGACCCATGTTGGAATCAGAGCTGGTTTGTGGAATAATTCACTCCAGATCTGACGGGATGTAATGTCAATAAACCTTGACCTTGACGGATTGTTGCAAAAAGTCAATGCTAATGTCAAGTCTTCATAAATATATGGATTTGTGGGGTTAAAGTTGATTTATAGGTTTTAGAGAACTCACAATATCAATTTATGGGCGACAATTTTGTTTTAAGGGCTACATTTAGTTTAAGGTTAATTGATCCGCTGCCCTTATTGTACACTGGTGAGGACCCTCAGGTGGTATAGCAGGTAAAGCAGTCAAATGTGGTCCAATGACAATATTTCTTAAATTGTTATCTGACTATTCGAATGTTTTTACCTCAGCACATAGATGTTTCTCACAAGAAATAGAGTTGTGGTCAAGGGAGGTAGCTGAACAGAATTAGCTCAAAATCTAAGACTACAGTTCAAAACTCTAATGTTATGTACCAAGTTACAGTTGCTATTCACAATCACATTCATCTGATGAGACCTTTAAAACACCTCATTACAAAAAAGTGTGAGCAAAAAAATTAGTCCAGAATTTCTTGTGATGAACCAACCTTTGAACCCAGCTCCAATCATCGTCAGTCATTGTCTGAAGACACTATGTAAGATATTCCCACGAAACTTTCTTTAGCAGTGCAATATCTAAAAGAGACACATGTTTTCTTGTGATTTACTTTCAGTTATCAGGTCATTATTTTTTTCTAAAATAGCATCATCCTCACACAGATTCAGGATGATGCAGAGTTGGTAATACGTCTTTTTTTTTTTTAATTGGGGTTGTTCAAATAATAACCGTATGGTTTAGTAATAAAAGTCAAATGTGAAACACTCATTAAATAACAACTCACAGACAGTTAACTCTGTTTGTCATCCTCTAGTTTACTCTTTACATCAACTGTACAGCAGCTACATCTGACACACCACATACATACACACATACACAATGCATGATCAGGACAAATATATACAGACTCCTTAATATAGAGAAAGTGCTATCTCCTTCCACATATCCATACATACACAAGATTTCACAGCGCATATCTGTTAGGCTTCAAGACTAACACAGAAACAGTCCTTAAATGAGACCTTTAAAATAATAATAGTGTTATTTTTAATATACATAGCTCTAAATAATGAATTGTTTCTATGTTCTATCAGTAAAAAAAAGCTTAATGGATAGTCCTTTACATTACATGTTAGTGTCTCTATCTACCAATAGTGTTTAAGATAGAGTCAAAGTTCAATGGAAATGATAAAATGCATTTTAAATACAGCTTATTCAAAATGCTACTTCATTTTATACACACATAATAGCACTGCTTTGCATTACATTCATATTTTTAGAAACTGTTTGAATGTTTGTGGTCTTAATTGGGTTATTTATCTAGTTTTAGCTCCATTTGTGAAATTTGTTTTTGCAACACAGCACATTCAGATAACTCGATTTCAGTCTCTGCTGTGTCACACTTGGGTCTTGACATTTTTCCAGACATTGTTTTTCGACTGTGCAACTTTTCCTTGCATTTCTGATTGAAATCAGATACTAACACTGTCACATTTTGAATAGAATAAATATTTTTTGTCATCTTTTTTTCACTCCACCAGCATCTTCTATTTAATCAGAGCTCACATGCAACTATAAAAGGCAGTTGTTGGCAAAAGATGCAACTACAGACCTCTGAGGGATGGAGTGCACAACAATTATTATTATGTTATGATGGTGCCTGGGTGTTAAGCAGCAGGTGAACATTTTGTCTATTGAAAGCAAGAGTGATGGGCGAGCATAAGAATGAGACAAGGGCCAGATTGTGAGGGTTGGACTTCTCGATCAGAGTGTCTCCAAGCTGCAGCTCTCTGTTCAGGTTTTAAAATAGATTAAGTGCCACAGGTTGTTACATATAGGGCATCCTAGTTGTAGAGTGGTCGGCGTGTCCATGCTGACCCCTGTCCACTGCCAAACGCACCTACAGTGAACATCAGGACTGCATCACTATGCAATGAAAGAGGGTGGCCTGGAGGAACATGAAAATATTTAAAGATTTTGTCTTGGCTTCCAAACCCCAGCGGGCTAGAGAGCTAGACTAGATGAAGTCCAGTCCATGAAGGCCCCACCTCACTACCTCTGGGACACCATACTTGGGATATACCTGGGATACCATACTTCGAGGTCTAGTGGTGAGCCAAAACAGCCCTGTCTGCAGAAAAGGGGATCAGGTTATCATAATAACAGTGAGAAAAATCCATTCAGAAAATATGCTAACTGATAAAAACTGATCTATAAGCTGCAGAAGAAGAATAGAAGTTAGGACCAGAGCTTTGTGAATGTTCATATCTCTTAGTTGGTGAAGGGACAACCACACAGTCTGTCTCGGACTGTTTCATGATTAAAATGCACAGAATTACGCTGTCAGTGAAATTGTGTATATAAGTAGTTATTTGGGCTAACCTAGATTTTTTGTTATTTGTTTAAAATGAGCAGGGTAAATGCTTAATAAAACCAGATTTTCAAATTGTTATGCAACATGTACAACAATAACTTAAAAATAGACGTGAAAGACATTAAAAGCTTGGACTCCAATGCAGCATTTCCACATATCAGGTGGTTGAAATATGCTTGAGTAGAAACACAAAGTTGAGATCAGATCATTGTAAAGCTGGTGATAGTGCTCCAAACCAGCAGTGTTAACTCATTCTTCATGTTCATGGAGCTGTAAGGGGTCCTGTGCTGCACCATCAGGCCATGAAGAGAGGTGAATGTGTCTCCGTTCTTGGGCTCAGTCTGATAGGAAGATTAATTTGTTTCTGGAGTGAGTTTTTTTGGAAGTCTGTGAGTCTGTGTTGGAATCTAAAGGGAGTAGTTGTACTTGAAATGCACATGCAGCCCGTTAACAGGGTGCACTATTGGCACTGTCTGCATCTTGGGAAAGTTCTCAGTGGCCAGAGTCCATTTGCAAGTCCCGATCAGCTCCACAGCTAGAGTCTTTAGGATGATCTGTGCCAGTTCTTTCCCCACACAGCTCCGCACACCGCCACCAAATGGCACATAGCTGAACCGAGCCGACCGACCTTCCTCCCGCTCTGAGCCAAAGCGGTCTGGGTCAAACAGCTCCGGGCTCTGGAAAACTGCTGCTGTCTCATGGGTGTCCCTGATGCTGTACATTACACTCCAGCCTTTGGGTATCTGGTAGCCCTGCAGAATGAAGAAGAGGTCAATGAATATACATAAAGATAAGAAAGACTGTGGTGTACCGGCATGGTATGCTTTGGCATAGGGCTGGGCGTTAAACCAAAAATTTACCGATACTTACAACAATAACCGACATCATTTTGCCTATTTCAGTATATTTAGTGACAAAAAATAAATAAATAAAAGTTGGTTTTGGATGTGTGTAGGTAGGCTATGGTCTCATGTCCCTGTAAGACGCTGGCCTCACGACAGAGACGTGACTCCACCCCATCCAGTCCATAACAAAGAGGGAAAGACAGATGAGGAGATAGAGGACGGTTCAAAAGGTTTAGCTGCTGGAGCAGTGGCTGAAGTAGACGAAGTTAATGTGGGAGGGGGTGAGCAGCTTCTGGTGTAGTTATCATCCATTTATCGTTGTTGAGGTGAACTGCTCAATATATCGTGATATTGATTTGAGGCGATATCGCCCAGCCCTACTTTGGCATATTTTTCTGTAATAAACAACTTCTTCTAGAAAACAAACAACTACAATTTGACAGGACTTTTCCAGAAAAATCACAAATGAAATCAAATAAATATTTTAAGTTTATGATATTTAGATTTAGTTTAGAATGAAGCAGCCGGGAAAAGTTTTTAGTATTCACAAAACTATCACTGCCTGCTTTGTCATCTTCATTCATTTATTCAATCATTCATCCTTTTAATCCAGGCGTCAGTATAACCTAATTCCAATCAATTCTGCGGAGTAAGGATGTCCTTGTTTACGTTTTAGTCTCACTTGCATGAACAAGCATAATAATGTTTTCAAAACTGCAATTACTTCTCAACCAAAGGCGTTCATGCCCTGATAAAGGGTTGAATAAATAGTGGCATGTGCTCTACAATAGTGATCTGGGAATCCCCTATAATCGCTCTAAGTGTCGATTGTCTCCTCACAACAAACACAGCAAATTGGGGGCATGCTGAGGGCAGGGAAGGGGCATTCAAGGACTACGGAGAAGACCATGGTAGGCAGTGGCTCAGAAACGGCCATGCAACTCAGTGTGTGAAAGTATCCTTCCTTTTAAGTGCTGCTATACAAGCTGCCTCTAAAGATAGATTTAGACAAGAACACTTTTTCCTTAGCCTAGTAATATTCTCTCAGTCTGTTAAGCCAAGTAATTTCTGACTTATTTATGGTCACTCTTTCTTGAAGACGTTTTAAGGCTCTGATCAAAAACCTGTTGATTATGTCAGACTAGCTGTACATGCCAAACCACAGAGGGGTAGTAACAAAAGCCCTGGAAAATGTGTCTGTGATTCATGTTATTTTTGCTTGATGGACGAATTGGATACGACAACTTTTGTGATACATTCAGGTCCAAAAAGAGTTTTCTTCGTACAGAGAATACGAGAAAAGGCATCTGTGTAAGACTGAAACCCCCCTTTTTTGTCAATAACACTGAAAATTCTTGTGCAGTTGTATCTGATAGATTCATCTGAATTATTTGGTCGAACAGGAATTTAGCTGGCATGGCTAGCAGAAGCTTTGTACACTCAGGCTTTCCCCTTCTCTGCTGAAAACAAAGAATGGGAAAACCCAAAAGTTAAGGGACATTTGTGGTTGCTTTTATGATGTATATGCCGAGTGAAAGTTTCCCTGACTTTGGCACAATATTCAAAACTGGTATCTAGCTTGACTAAACAGATCAATGTGCATTAGTTGACTATGCTTAAGGTTTAGATGTTAAACTTAACTATGAAGGTACAGTGTGAAGAATGATGTTCATAAGTATGTTTGAATTAGTTTTCCCTAAATATAGCGATCATTTTGATGTTGTTGACTTACAGCGATCCTTTTTTTATCTAGAATGAACCGGTTGGGAGACAAAGACAAAGAGAGTGGTGGTTGTAAAGCACCAAAGAGTTTGCAATAATAGATATTTTTGATGGTAAAAACTTGGCAAAGACAGGATCACACATTACCAAGTAGCAACCTCAGTGTTGAGAAATGAAGCCCATGCTGTAGTGCCAAAAACTGCAGTACTTTATGTGCCTGCTGGAGGGTGTCCGCAGAAGCACCTACAGAACTACGCACACACTAATCCAAAAATAAGCCAGTTTTTGGAGCAAAAATCAACTTTTTACAGCCTGATTCAAGAACCATGTCAGGCTGAATACCTCAGGACTCCTGTTGTACAGGGAGCAAAATTTTCCGTGACACATTTGTTTTGACGTTATTACACCTTCAAGAACAGCAAATCACAGTGACAGCAGACTTGACTCATAGGCTGGCACGCTGTAGCTATTTGCAAAGGAGGCGAAAGGACTAAATCTAGTAGGTTGACTGAAAGTAAGGTTGAGTCAGCATTTCCAACATGGCAACCACCGCCAATAGGGTTCAAAACTCGGTTTTAGAAACAAATTGCTCTTGATACTACATTCAGTTATTATAAAGTTTACAGTAAGGTACACACTGTACCTTCAAAGACCCTGAAGAAGTGTCCACTGTGCTCCAACTAGAGACACAAAGTGTGTTTTAGCATGAATAAGGTTCACTTCCTTAGTTCACTTGTACTATTTGATTTTATATGATTTGGCTTTGGGTCTGTCAGCTATTTGAAAAAAAAAAAACAGTATGAAATATCTCCTCTGCTGGAAAAAGGAAATATTCCTCCCAAACTAAAAGTCTGAACAGGGCAGATATATTCCCCTTCAGGGACTCGGACTTACGTCTAATTCAAATGTCTGCAGAGCTGTTCTGTAACCACCGGAGACTGGCGGCAGGAAGCGGAGCACCTCCTTCACCACGCAGTCAACGTAGCGGAGCTGGCTCAGTTTGTCCAGGGTCAAAGGGGGCATGTGGGACTGGGGCTGTGGGAAACCATCACTGTGATTCTGGTGGTTGTGACAGCCTCCATTCAGCAGGCAGGTTATCTCTGTGTCAGCAGCGTCCTCCTCCCTCCCTGTGGTGACACCTGTTGGACTGTGATTGCTGTGGGAGTCATAGCCAAGGCCCTCTGCCTCCAGCTCGACTCGGGCCTTCTCCACTACCGCTGGATGGCGAAGTAGCTGCAGAACCAGAGATGTGGAGGCGCTGGCTGTGGTGGAGTGAGCAGCAAAGATCAGCTCTACTGCTGTTTCCTACGAGAAAGGAGAGGTAATTGGGGTGATGTAAAATTTCTTTTTTAAGTCATTGTTTTTCATGATTAGCTTGTCTTACAAAGTGGTTTTTGAACAGAGTACGAAAAGTGAAGCACAATGTTTCCTGTCTCTTTTCAGCTGTCTGATCTAGTGAAGACCAAATCTCTTAAAAAGGGACTACATCAATGTCACACTTCTCCTATATGTCTTTTATTTCTGTGTCTGAATGTTCTGCAGTCTGCAGTCATCATAGAGACTTTCACTCTCGTACCTTGAGCTCCTGGATGGTGAGCTCATGCCCGTGCTCCTTTGCACTCGACAGCATGTAGTCGAAGGCATCATAATATTCCTCCTCTGCCTGCGGCCGCTCCATCTTCTCCTCAATGATTTTCTCCATGTTGGCGTGCAAGATCTCTCTGGCTTTGATTCCCTGCACATCAAAAAGATTCCCCCAAAAATCAGATTAATCCACTATTGTTTACAGTAAAAAGTGAAGTAGATATGTAACGTTTCTGACTGGATTTTATTTAATATTTCAAGCCAGTATATAAATATATCTCTATTATTAATAAGATTCCACTCTTAATCCTCTGTTTAAAGATGGCTTATGATCAGGGGCGTGTCCAGACTTTCTGAATGGGATGGCCCAGCTAGGGTACTGTTAATCCAAGAGTGGCATTAAATATGTGTGCACACTTCTAAATGATAACAATATGATAAATTGTTATTTATAATACTTTCTGTTTCCACAACATGTATCTGTGTCAACTCGACTGTTTCAGTATCATATTGATGATATATTCCTCATTTTATTTCTGGACTCCCAAAATAAAACTCCTCTGTGCCTTACTCTTTGAGGACTCAAAAAGATTATATTTCTTGAAAGTCAAAATTCAAGGTATTTTTAATCCATCATAAAGAGATGTTTAATAGTGGTCACGTTTTCTTAGCCTAGAGAGACAAAAATGTCAGATATACTGGTCATTTCACTTGTTTTTCTTCTCATTCATGTATCTTTTCATAAATTCAAGAGACTTTTTTCCAAAATTCTGAACACCGATGTTCATCTCAAGATTCTTAAAACTCAAAATAATCTTTCAGCTCCTCAAAGCTCCAGAGAAAATCTTTCCTCTGTTGGGTTTAGCACCCCCTGTGGACAAAGTGGTACCTCTTACATCTTTGCTGACCTTGTCCTGAACATGTAAAGGTAGTGTGTTCTGAGAAAAAGTCTCAGTCTTGTCAGTCTCATTGTTGATGTTCTTGTTTGCTTTTGTGGGTCATAGAGAGGCAACTCTATTAATTTTGTTCAGTGGGGATTAAGGATCAATCTAGACGATAAACTGGTTTCTGAAAGAGGAAACTGAACCTGTTAGTTGGGTAGATCTGACAGCTCCAGGCTATGGATAAATTTGAACAATTTCAAACTGATTACAGAGTGTGTGGAGAAGAAAAAAAAAGCTGATTTTTCAACATGTCTACAGTGGGATTTTTGTGCTCTCTTACCTTACGTAGCCCACTGAGCGGAGCATCTATAGGCAGCGAAAAAAGGTTGTTCATCAGCTGCTCAAAGATCTGGGCCAGGTAAACTATTCGCTCCTCCTCCAGCTGCAGACCCAACAGGACCCTCACAGCAATACGGAACGTCAGGGATCTGGCAGCGCTGTAAACATCGATGGCGCCCGGCTCTGAGCACCACTTGGCTATCTCAGACTTGACGACGTCCTGCAGCCGAGGAAGGTAGGACTCCAGGGCCCCCCGGCTAAACACTTTAGCCAGGATCTTGAAAGGGTTGAGGAAACAATGACAGGGGAGTCATAAAAAGTTATAACCTTGTACACGACAGTCAACACCTTTGAGTAAATACTCACTAAAGGGGAGGACAGGGTGGGGTAGGCTAGCTCTGGATGGAGGCACAGGAAAGATGAAGAAGATACAGGAGATTAGGTAAGTGGGTGTGATCGGAGATTGGAGTGGGACATAATGTAAGCACTGGATAGGTTTGGACATGCACTGGAGATTCAAAACTTAGGGTTTTAATGATGACAGCTTGTTGAATGATAATCTGACTCTCAAATGTTTTCTATTTTTCCTCTAACAAATGCGGTCCAGATTTGTTTTGATGAAAGCAATCATCCTGAACTGCTGCAGTGAAAAGCTAGAGGCCCAAATGTCACTGCTCTGGTGATCAAAAGACCAAAACCGAATTCATTGTTTAGACCAAAACTCCAAAAAGAAATCGCAGGGCTAGATCAGAACACTGTGCATGCATGACAGAATACTGTAATCAAATGGGCAAAGCATCTTGGGACTTGCAGTTGACTTGTGTCCTGTTTGTTCCTCAACACTGATCGACTTTTCTCATAAAAGTAGTCATACATCTGGGTTGAGCTTTTTTGAGTCTTGTGTCTTTTGAGGTCCTCAAGTGTTCCAATTATGACTCTACACTACAAGTAAAATCAATGTAGGATGTATCATAACTAAAATATATAAACACTTTACCACCAAAATCATGATTCTCAGTCTAAACTCCTCTGATGTTTCCTTACTTTTCTCTTCTTCTTGTGCAGGTCTCCGATGGAGTTGACCAGGGTGTTGGGTCCCAGGATGATGCGGGTGCTCTGGGGCCACTGGGTGCACACCAGGCTGTGCTCACCAAGCAGGATTTTGCGGATGTTTTCAGCTCCCGTCACGCGGATGACAGGCTTTCCGAGGAGGTGGGTCTTGAACACGTTGCCATGACGTTCTCTGCGCGAGATGTGGAAGTTGGAACCCTGCAGCACGAGATCAAGAAAATTAAGAAGGTGTGTTGCATTTCAGGACTGAAATTATATTCATTTTATTTCAATCACACAATGTCAAGGTCTGTTTATTTTTATTTTCCAAAGGTCTATCTCTCATCGTTATCTTTTGGATTGTTTGCAAGAAGTCTCAAGAACTGGATGTCACTCACGTTCAGTCTATTGATAACTTTCTCCATGGGTATGTAAACACGGGATGACATTAGTCTTTCCAAATATGTATGGGCTATAAATAAGAGGGAGGTACGAAATCGAAGATCAGGAGGTGGAAGGAAAACGCGCAAAACCACCAAAACACAGATCACGTGTGCCGCACCTTAGCGCTGTGACTGACGCTTATTTAGGAGCGGATAGACGGCTGAAGTAAAGGAGAGATGAGGCGATGAGAGAGCGCATTCCTTACTGTTGAAGAGACAGTCAGACAGAGAGGGAGGGAATGGGAGAGGTAGAAGAATTGAACAGAAAACGTCTGTTTTTGCTTCACAAGAAGGAATTACGCTGCGAGCATCAAGCCCGCACATGTCGCATTAACAACACAACTCAGCATGCGCAAGAATCTGCCTTTATTTTCTCCCGCGCCGTCTCCAGATACTTTATCAATAACTTGATGGTTGAGAGGCTCAGCAGCACTTTAATGACGACCTTATTGAATTTGTTAAAGTTACAGAGCGCTAGAAAGAAGTTTTGAGCATAAATACAAAAGGGCACGTGCAGACGCGCAGGAGGCTGATAACCTATATTTTGGAACGCTTGTAAAAAATGAAAACTACAGCAGCCCAGACGTGCCAAACATCCCCCTCTCACCTGAAAAAGCCAGTGAAAAGTCTCCCCGACCAGCGGCCAGCCCATGGAGCCCTTCGGCAGCGGCAGGCTGCTCTCTTTGTCCCGGGTCAGGCTCCAGCGGAGACTCCACAGCTGACGGGTTAGCGCCAGCAGGAAGAGCGCGGAAAGGACCGAGGTGAGTGCGGCGGCCAAGGCCGACAGCACCCCAAACTGGGCCAAGTGGAACATCTCCTCTGAGCTGGTCCGCTTCCCAGCATCCACCTGTGTCTGTGCGTAAAAGCGCCTCTGCCCCTTTCCAAACTCTGTTTGGGAATGCTGCGTTAACCTGCTCCGTATAGGGTGTCCCTCTTTGTCTTTGTCTTCTTCTCTCCGGCAAACTCTGTCAAAAACACGTCTTAGGTCAACATTTGAGGGTTCCTTGAAGTCCCACAGAAAGCAGAGGAAGAGAGACAGGCTGAATCTAAACTCTTTCTGAACTCATCTCTGGAGGCAGCCAATGGCTGTGAGCCGTTATGAGCTGTTATTACAGCTGGTTAGACAATAATAACAGTAATCATGCTGACTGGACCTCACAGTCCTGATTCATTCAGAAATATGCAGTGATGGTGCATTTCTGGAATATTTGTATACTGAATTATATCTTTTCTTTAAATCCATGCCAGTGATTTATTTATTCACTTGTATTGTTTTAACAGGGACAAAGGTGTGAGATATTGTTTCATACATGAAGCAATATTTTGTATATATATAAAATACACCTCATGCCTACAGGTTTATGGCCATGGCTGAGTAAGAAATATCTGTAATTTTGTTAAGAAACAAAGAAATCGACACACTATCCCTAATGATATCCGATAAATTAAAGAGTTTGTAAAGGCACACGTAAAGAAGATAACAGACTATCAAAGATAACGCAAAGGTCCTTGGACCGGATGGATGCGCAGACACACACTCATTTTCTGACTGCGGCAAAAAGAAACGTGCTTCTCTCAGGTGAGGAAACTCCCCTTCATTCCGCTGCTCCTCCAAAATGAGGAGTAGCTGTCAACTATTCCAAATAGTTTTACAGGTTTACATGCGCCGGCTTGTCTATTAGGTTATGCGCCTTTATAGGTACAGTTGAGGGGCTTAGCCTCCCCCGGGCGGCCGGAGGTTTATAGAGCAATGGCAATAAATCAGGTTTTTAAAAAGCAGCGGAATAAAGGTGGATTTGAATACAGTAGACAACAGTGTGTAGCGGATTAACAGGTTGGCGGAATAACAAGAGGTGAGATGTGAAGAACTTGGGAACGAGGAGGATGAAAGCGAAAAGGGATTTAATCTATTCAAGGTGTAAAGCAAGAGTTTTTAAGAGGTGGAAACTTACCTCAAGTAGCGCTCCCGAGAGAAATCCGTGCGCGTAAAAGCAATGTTTCAGTCTTGTCTTCCCTCCTTAAACCGGTGACTATGCCTCCTTAGTGAACGGGCTGCTGTGGGCTTTATAGAAAAGGCTGCACGGCATGATCCACCTTCATCGGATGACGTTGGTCTGAATATGTTAAAGAGGCTCGTTCATTCACGGCGCGGACCGGCGAGAGTGAAAAAAGAAAAAAAAAAGTTTGGAGATCAGATCAGAGACGCAGCGGTGCGATCTGACAGAGAGAGAAGAGGAGGACTGGGAACAGAAGAGAGAGGGAGTGTGAGTGTGTGTGCGTGTGTGTGAATGTGTGTGCGAAAGGGGGAAGAAATGAAAGAGAGAAAGAGAGAGGATCAGATGGCAGCGGATGGAGAAAAACTCACAGGTAGCCAATCAGCCGGGAGCTGTTCAGATTTTGGCGCAGGTTTTCATGTTTATAGGTTTGCTGTTTCAGACCGGTGCATCCCGCCTGTCTGCAACCAGGTCTTAGAGGTTCAGGAAGGAGCAGAAGAAAAACAAACAAAGGAGAGAGCATGCCTCGAGCTCGGTTTAAAATCCAAATTTCAGATTTTTCTTTTGTTTTTGGCTCACAAAACCAACGGTGCAGATAGAGACGGTATCACTGACAGCCTTTTTCTACAATAGACGCACGCATGTACGTCTCTAATTTCCTTTAGTGGAATGAGACGATAGAAAAGAGGACTGAAAGGAAATTTTTAAAAGAACATTTGCTGTTTCGTTTTGTTTTATTGGCTTGTTTGAAGTCAGTCGTGTTGCCTCATAGGCCTGGACTCAAAAAGAAAGGGCACAGGTATGGAGGGAGAGATGTTTTGTTTTCTGCTGAAGCTGTGCAGTGCGCAGTGCTCTGCGGCCTCCAGGAAAAAGGGGGAGTGAAAGTGAATGAGGCCTGAACCAAATTTTTTATTTTTAACAGGAATTTATCGACCTTAGATTGAATCAAGTTGTGCGTAATGGTTAACCCGTAACTTCAATTTTCAAGTGTGAAACCAATTTTAACAAAAGCTTAAATGTCTCCTTGTTTTGACTTACATCGATCAATTCAAACGCTGACTAAATAGCTCACCAGTAAATTATAACAGTTGCTTTTTGTGGCGGATTGAAACATTTAGGCTAAACCGGGCACGTTTCGAGGCTGTTGTCCACAGAGATAAATGGCAGCATAACTCCCTGCCTTTGTAAACACTGTTGTGTTTGAGGTGTTGGGGGGTGAATCAAGTATTTGGCTGTTGGTCAGCGTTTCAGTTCGCGAACAAAAGCGTCAATTAACATCTTCTGGGTTTGACGCGTTCCGTTTACTCTGTGATCTGACGGCCTCGCGTTTTGGCCGTCAGGGCTGGATGTGTTAAACCGGACCAATCAGCGCCACGCGCGCACATCTCCAGCTGTTATCGGTTTGATTTCTCAGCGAGAGACGTTTACATGTGACCCGTGATGACTGAGGAGTTTGTCGGGTTAGTATGACAGTGGGTGTCCTCATCTCAACTAACGCGTAGAGGTGAATGAGTTCCGACCGAGCAGGCTGATGAAAACACGGTCACTCTGTTGTTTTTCACACCTTTAGTTTAATTGCCTACTTCTTTAGCATCGATCAAAGTCGGAGTTATTATTACAAGACACGGTTGTTGTAAAATTACGTTTCTAAACATTGTAAGACAAAACAAGAAATCCCTCCCCTGAAAGCATCACTGGATACAAACGCCAACCCAACGTCGTTTTTATCATTTCTTTAGTTGAGTCAAAATAGTTATTCTTCTCGTAAAACGACAATTATGCTAGTTGAAAAAAATAAAACACTATATATTTTTTTCCCGATTGCTCCTATTTTACGCCATTTTTCTGTTTCTTCATGTCTGGACGTGATCATTTAAAGTTTCTCTCTTTCATTCACAGAGCCGCAAATCTACAGCTGACATGTGGGGAATCCCCCCAAAAGAGACGAGCAACACATCAAAACGAATTTCTGAAAAATGATCCCCGGAACAGCTTATTAAGGACCGCAGGGTTCATTTACAGAGGAGATGTGTTTTAATGAGAATGTGGCCGGAAATCAGATCTAAAGGTGGATATAAAGAGGCCCACGAAGAGCCGAGGAAAAATTGCGTAATCGTTATCATGTCGTTGCCATTGGTCTATAGGAATAAATAATGCTCCCACTGATTTATTTTTTCAATTATTTTATTCAATAATTATTATATCTTATCGTTTTTATGATCTCGTTTATTTTAAATGCTGTTTCTACTCAGTGCATTAACAACCAGCTTTATCTGTTTTGTTTTAGGCTCTATTTTTGATTGTGTTGCAGGCTAATTCCTCTCAATGCAAAGTTAAAGATAAAGGTAATAATTTCAATTCATACGCCCTCATATTGTTGTGAAATCCATTATTTAGAGCAGTAAACAGTTTTGCAAAGTTGATATCAGGAGCAGTTTACAAACTGTGTCCATATATCCTTCTGTCTAAACTTTATTTATAGGTCAAAACGACAGCAAAAAGAAACTTAAATTATGAAAAATAAGTGCAGCTACAGGCTTCATACTAACATTTCATATTTAGGCCTGCATTTCATATTCTTCTCACTTGCTAATTTTGTTCTTTAACTACTTTAAATAATAAAGACTTTAATAAATAATTTGACTTTTGTTTTACTTAAGGTTTCAGTTTTACACAAATGCAGATAATAATGAATAGATAAATACTAATGTATTGTGAAGGCTTGATTGCCAGTATTTAAAAAAAGGAAAGGACCAACCTGTGGCAATGTTCATTAAATAAAGACATTGATATCTTCATATAGATAATATCATTTAAAAGGTGTATGAATGACATCCTTCATCCATGTTTTTTCAGGCTGATTTTATACTCATCTTTTTATGATTTTGAGTTAAATCTAGTATCGCTGCACTGTGGTAATAGTACGCTAACTCAAAGAGAGGATTTGATTTATTTGAAGAAAAGCTTAATGTTTATAATTTCTGCATCATGGGCTGAAAATTTGAACCAAATTTGAAAAAAATTTAAATCACAGGGGAAAGATTTGGCTGGAGAAAATAACTTACCAACAAACTAGTGTTCGGCTAAAGTCAGATAATGTTCTGCAGTATACGTTTTATTTGCTAATACGCTTTTTAAATTCATATTTATCTAGAGGCTCATTGTCATTCCAGTGCACAGTTATACAGACATGACTACCTTCAAATTAAACCCGATAAAAAAACTTTAATTATCCTCCTTATATCTTTTCTTTCCTTTTTGCTTTAAGTCTTCCCTGAGTGTTTCCTTTCTTTTGTTCCTTCATTCTCCCTCCCTCCCTTCCTTCGTTCCTCCCTCCTCTTTCCTCCATCCCATTGTAATAAAATTCAGTTCATACTTGTGTGGAGCGTTCCTGCCTGTCAGCTCCCATCACACACAGTCTGATCATTAATAAGAGCAGCAGGAGGAGCAGCAGGAGGAGCAGTGAGACGTCAGCGCTCTCCTGCAGTCAGGTCATTCAGGGGTTCAGAGGGAGGATCACTGCAGTCGGAAACTTATCACTTTGCTCCCATCTTATCCACACACTAATATCATTTTAACTCTCTTTCCATCAGTTTTGTCACTTATGACGTTCATGTTCAAGTATACTGCTCCTTTTTTGGCACATTTTAAAACATTCCCTGTTTTCTTCCCTGATATAAACTCAGCAACATTAACATTAATTACATTCATTTATTAACTCATTTTCTTAAAAAAAAAAGTTACTTGCACATATATAAAAGTATTTCCAGTTATTGGATTAGTACTACCAAAAAGTGTGTTTAGAAAAGAGACACAATGTGCGATGTTTGCAATTTTAAATCTGTGTTAGAAAAAAAGTGTTAATCATTTTTAAATCCGGTGTTTTTAAATCGCGACACAAAATAACAATAAATAAAAAAGTCATCCATTTAAAAACAATATTCGTGATTTAGTTTCAATACTTGGTGGAATAAATTAAGAAAAATGTAAATTTGACTCATAAAATGTCTAGAATTCTCAGATATGATGAAGGGAAATATTTTTCCCTCTAAAACAAACAGTCTCTCTCTCTCTCTCTCTTTATCTCTCTCTCTCTCTCTCTCTCTCCCTTTTTTTCTGTTAAATGCATTTCCTGTCCTGTTGTCTCATCACACCACACAGCTCTGCTCTGCATACTTAAAGGGCCATTCCACTAATCCTAATCCTGAGCCTTTAAAAGCTTCTGTAATTGAGATGTTCCTCCTGAGGCGTCCCGGCGGCTGCATTCACAACCATTTGATTCTCCACATCACAGCTCTGGTTTCAACCTCAGACACTCAAGAGACGACAGTGACTGAAAATAAATCACGTCAGGTTCATTTCACTTCAAAAACAGCACGATTTGAGAATAAAAACCATGACATCTCTTTTAACATAACACACTAATGCGTGTGTGTGTGTGTGTGTGTGTGTGTGTGTGTGTGTGTGTGTGTGTGTGTGTGTGCGTGTGTGTGCGTGTGTGTGTGCGTGTGTGTGTGTGTGTGTGTCAGTCTGAGGCCTGAGGGTTGATGAGTTGATAGTTTAAGCCTGAATCTAAAGCAGAGGTCTCACTGATCCTCAGCTCTGGCTCGGATGTTCATGTCACTGTTTTCATCACATCTGAAGCATTAAGATACTAAAAACACTCACAACACCTGAGAGAGGGTGAGATGAACCTGCTGTATAGCTTAGACCAGAAGATAACTTTGAATCTAATTCATTTTGATATTTATTCGATAGGTTTGTAAGGAGAAGAGTCCAGCAACACAATTTTTCTTTCTTTCTTTTTATCTAAATCTTATTGGCACCATTTTTTATCATCACATTGTAGCTAGGTTTTAGTTTTCTCAAAGCTCCTGTAAGGAACTTTTGGTTTGTGTAAGATTTGGCGCCCCCTGTGGACATTAATCTCCTTACTAATTATGTCCTGTACACAGTTTGATAGTGTGTGCTGACAACTCTGTTTTCCTAGAGTCATTAAATGTATCTCTGATAAAAGATATTTGCTGTTATAA